ACTCGGCTCGGAACATAGCAGCAACCTCATCATGCAGGATTTCACAAATCCTAGCATCCAACTCATCTGTGCTCATCTGATTGATAACCTCGGGTGGTGCTAACCCACTCTGATCGCCCTCTCCTGCTACTGATCCTGACCCGGATCCACTCCCAGCATGCCTCGTAACCACCATACTAAAAAACACCGCAAACATCAGAAACCTCCCTCTAACCCGGGGACTGACTCTCAACCCAGCCCTAGGGGTTGTGACTTCCTTGATACACGTATGGGTCCTGTGCTTTCAGTAGTAAGGGACCATACTACCTTCCACACCTACCCATATTTATATCAAGTATCACAACAAAACCATAGAAAGAACAGACATAACAAGCACTCAACCCTCACTCTTAGAGGAATCGTTGGAAATATCATACAGAAAGAAACCCTAGGATAGCAGGCATCATAAATCAGGCAACTCTATCATGCAATTTCCTGAAGATCCCTAGTCTAGTACTAGCATGCTGTTCTATCATGTCACATAAACAAATAACTTGCATGGTATTTTGGGGCTACTTGTTGGCTCCGACTGATCATACCTCCGCGTCTTCCTTTACTCATTTTGAAAACCCTTTTTAAATTCTTATTTTGAAAACTCTCCTTGATTTGAGACTGGATTCACACGAATGTTCCTCCAATTCACTCAAACCAAGGCACTGATACCAACTTGTAACATCCAAAAATTCAAGCCAATTTAAACTTTTCAAAAACAACCCAAATTCATTAAGTTATTACAAAAAGGTTTTCAATACATTTATTATCAGAGTATTCCCAGAACCATAACATAAAACATAAACATGAGGAGCGGTACGATCACGCCTTTACCTTGCCACGCTCTCCTGAAATACCTGAAACATTTAAACCACAACTGTAAGCCTGAAAGCTTAGTGAGATACCCCCAGAATACCAACCACATATACCATACACATAACAAGCCATATCATAACAGGACATAGAACAACCATGCACTTCGGGTCTACTGTGTAACTGGTCCGCTGCATCGGGCGTTCAGTCCACCTGGTCCACCCTCTGAGTCTAGCCATATCCCTCGAGTCTGCAGTGTGGTTGGCCCGCCCGCACCAAGCCTTCAACCCACCTAGTCCACTCTCTGAGTCTACAAAATGATTGGTCTGCCCGCATCGGGCCTTCAGTCGGTCTGGTCCACTCTCCGAACCTCGGCACATCTGGTCCGCCCTCGTGGGGCCTACAGCCTATCTGGACCGCTCGCTGGGCCTGCGGGATAACCGGTCCGCCCTGGGTATGTTGGCCTACAGCACAAAGTAGGACCCGCCTCAACCCAACCCCAGTCAATCATCCATGTGCACATAAACATATAACCACATAAAAATTAATCATCAGACAACCAATCTAGTAGATCATATACATAGCATACTCTAAACAGGATACCGACATAACCGGTCACTAATGTATACCATCCTAACTACAGGATACAAGAATAGCAAAGCAATAATACAACAACACTACCCAGATTACAATCCGATAAAGGGCCGGCCTTGGTACCTTAGACCCTGTCGATATAGTGAGGATAACTCATCTCAAAATTGCTGACTGAAGAGATAAGATAACGTTGTTCCAACCTCAGGCACGAACTCCACCACTAATAATACCAAAAGACTAAACTCAATAAATACCAATAATTACCAAATTTCCCCTGGAAGTCAACTCTTCGTCAAAGTGAAAGTCCTCAGTCAAAGTCAAACTTCATGACTGACTCTACTCGCCGAGTCAGCCTGCTGACTCATCGAGTCCCTATGCTCTGAAAACTCACATATCGCGACCCAACTCGCCGAGTCACCCCAAGACTCGACGAGTCCCATGAACTCTGAGTCACCTCCTGTTCAACTCACCAAGTTGTCCCTCAACTCACCGATTCACAGCTCAACCAAAACGGTTAGGACTTCGTGACTAGAATCGATGATTCCAAGAACAGACTCACTGATTCCAAGGCAATCTTCAATAGACTCACCGGGTTCTTCTTCCAACTCGTCGAGTGCCTTCCTTTCTTCATCCAACTCGACGAGTACCCCATGCGACTCGTCGAGTGCCCCTAGTTCTTAATCCATACAGAGGCTTTCCAAGCCATGCAGGGTCTCCAATCCGTAGATCTACTATGATACAAGCCATCCATCACGTAAAGTGGCAAACTTTACGTGAATCCAAGGAGATCTAAGCATAATACACTCTAGGGTAGGGTTTAGGACAAAAAGGCTTCATCAACAACTCTTGAACAGGGACTTTATGCTCTTTTGGATCATCACTACTCTAGATCTGAGGTAGCAACCTCAGATCCAACATCCAAACTCAAGATAGCACTAGGTATACTCCTAAAAATACCACAAATGAATGATCTAAATGGATAACAGCTCAAGCAACGAATTATTACCTCAAGAGAAGACTCCAACAGAAGAATAAGCCAAAACCTTGTAAAGCCCCTTGCTCTAAGCCCCTTAATCTTCAAAGATCTCTTCAACAAACACTCCTTCAAGATCCAAATGCTCTCTAATTCTCTCACAAACGAATATTAGGGTTTCTGGACTTCAAGGGAGTGTAAAGAGGCTGGGTAGAGGGTATTATGTTCTTTATATAGGGTTCAACACCGGGGATTAGTGTTTTCTCCACACAGCACCAACTCGCCAAGTCCAACCACCGACTCGCCGAGTTGGCCACTTAACACGCGACCAGAATCGCGACCCTACTCGCCGAGTCTACCCATGGACTCGCCGAGTTGGCCATCCACATTTTCACTTTGAACCCTAAACTCGCACTCCTGAACTCGGGATGTTACAAGTAAATCCCAATTTATGTCCATATGAACTAGGATTTCCTTATTGGGCCTAATGGACTAATAAGCTTCCAATTTGACTAATTTGGGCTTAGAACTTTTAAATGGGCTCTAGTTGGACCCACTTTCATTTATTTTAACATTTTAGGCCATAATGGGCCTAGAATGAAATAAAATACCCTTATTGGGCCATGACAAATCTAATTAACCTAATGGGCCCTAAAACTCATACTTTGATTTATATTGGGCCGTGAACCATCTCCAAAGACCAATTGGGCCGAAAATCATCAAAATAGGCCCATAATATGGACTTAAGCACAAAAGGCCCAAATCCTCCTCTCTCTCTTCTCTCTTTCTTGGTTAAGAGGAAAAAAAAAGAGGTAGATTTATGAGGGCAAGACACCTCATAATTACCCATTGGAAACCCATGCATAAATCTCATATTTCCATGCATATCACCTCATCTATCACCTCTCCTCTCTTCTTCTTATTCTCTGCCGGTTCCCACTCACTCCACCTCATTCTCTTTCAACAATATCTCAAGAATACTCTCTCAAGAACGCACCCTCCTTACATCAAAAATTTCGAAAATCACGAGGGCTGCAAGAAGATCTTTCCTTAATATCACTAATCCTTGGTAAGTTGTTGTTTGATCCATACTTTAACTTCTTGATTACCTCAAAAATATCCCTTTAACTCATGCAAAATTCGTGATCTTGCTTCTTAGAACACATCTAACCCAATGACCTTCCAAGAAGCTTGCTAAGCCGAAAGACCTCACCATTTTCTTTCATTTCTTCTTCAAAAACAAGATCCACAAGAAAAGGTGAGTTCATACCCCTCTACTTTTAGTTTTCATATGTTTATGGGGGAGAATACATGTAAAATGTGTAGATCTATGTGTATTTGTATGCTATGTGTGATTTCTTGTATTATAGGGTAAATAAGTGCCAAAAATAAATGATATTTCGAGATCTATAGTTCAACGAGGAAAAATAAGTGATCTAAGATGTATTACACTTAACAAGTTAAGGGAAACTATCATCTAGGGTCATGTTAAACATATTTCAACACAAAACTCATTTTTTGGGCTTAATTTGTCAAATAAACAAAAGTTGGGTTGAAGGTTTCCATTCACGGTTTTCTTCAGGACCAAAAAGAGTCAAAACAGTTAATATATATGTTTTTATGAAAATTATGCTCTTCAAAGGACTAGAAATGTAATTTGTAGCCTTATGGGCCAATCTTTGGGCTTTTCGGCCAATAGGCCCAAAAATTGCAAAAAAGGTGGTTTTCAAGGGATTGAAGTAGTAAAATTCTCAAAACAGGGGAGAAAAGGGTAAACAAATTAATTCAGGGGTTAAAATGATTTTTTTTTCCAAACAAAGATAAAAAATGTAATGTTTTTGGATTTTGGGCCAAAACTGTAAAAGTTGCAAAAAGTTTGGACTTTAACTGAAAAACTCTTTACTGGAGGGGATAAAACTGCCAAAGAGTAAATTTTGAGCTAAAAACATCACTTAAACAAGTCTATGGGTCAAAAATATTAAGAAAATGATTTAAGGGCCTAAAATGTCTTTTTTTAAATGACTAAAATTGTCATTTTTATTAAAGAATGGCTGAAAGGGTCAAACCAATATTTTTGAGTCCGTTATTTTATTACTAAGATATTAGGTCAAAAACACTAAATTACAACTTAAGAAAAATAGAAAGTTGAATATACATATAATTCCAAATATCGTTATAAACAACCGACCGACCTCGTGTCGTTACAAATGTAACAATCATTAAATCAATCTTTCCGATAATTATACAACACCTAAAACAAGTAGATATTCAAATCTTTGGGCTTGAAAGTTTCTAAACTTGCTTATTAGGATTTCGTGACCCATTAACATGACTTTAGGGACCAACAATAATAATAAATGATTATTGGGCCTCGTGTGAACCAATTTCATGCTTAAGGGACCCTCAATGGCTTCCAAGTGCTATTGGGCCTCAGTGAGTCCAAATAAATTAAATGCGAAATAGGCCAACGTGTCCTTCGTATACCCAATAGCCATAAATAATACATGGGATTAGCAGGATCTTGTAATCATCTTCTCCTCGTTTATTAGGCTTACCTTCAATTCAGTAAACATATACAGGTCGTTAATCAATGGTAATCAAATTCATGTTGTATTCAGTGAGTAATAACGAGTAGAACCTCTATGGGTCGTTTGTAGTCTGTAATAATCAAAGTCTCCTGGAGGGAGAGCGAGAGTTTGTGTATAGATCTATATGGGGGTGACTCCCCCACACCTCAGCTGTTCGCTACAGTTAGACTCGGCCAGTCTAGGGTGACAAAATCTTAAGATCAACTTTGGAGTTCGTTAGAATGCCAAGACAAACAAATTAGTCATTATCATGCATGGTTATAACGACTCACATAAATAAATCCAATACTATCCGAATAATCAATTAAAAATCATAATCATTCGTTGTGACGGTATAAAAATTTGAAACAATTATATTTTATGATAAGAAAATATCGGTTTTTTCGAGGAAATCAACATCATTCACTTGTACTTTTCAATAACTATAATGCAAAACTTCTCATTTATACACGCTTTGAAATCATTTATGCATAAACCTATGGATCTTCACACTTTGGTATAAACATTTTTCTTTTTCAGAAAATATCAGATTTTCTGGGTTTTATAAACTTCACAAAACATTTTCATAACAACCATGCTTATAAACTCACGAACATTCCATATGTTGACATTTTTCAAAATAACTTGTATTCTCAGGTAACAGGTAAGCTGAGGAGTAATACCAAGTATGTTAGGATGTTATGCTTTTGAAAACTATCAAAAAATTTATGCTATGGATATGTAATGTTTAAACAATGTACTTGATGTGAACAATGTCAGTTGTAATGTATTGATGTATGGTGATGTTTATGTATGATTCATGTATATTCATTGTGATGATATTCAATTTGAGTCACGCGACACTCGGATGTTTCTGCCGTCTGGTTCAGGGGTGTGACAGGTTGGTATCAAAGCTCTGTTTATAGTGAACTAGCATATATAACCACACATTGATATGCAACTATAAACCAAAGTGGGACTAAAACAACTCTGAACAAAACAAATAAAACACAATGATAAAACACCTCTACTTGTATGATATAGGAAAAATACCCTAATACCAAATCAAATAAGATGATGTTGGCATCTTGGTTAAGTCGGGACTGTCTATAGTTGTATTAAGGGGTGAATGTAGCCTAATCAACTACATTTCCTCCGAAGTACAACTATCACATGCCCTGGGGAAATTGCGATGGTCGGTAAACCTAAAAACATACCCCTTTGTTACCAAGAAGAGGGCATCAACTCAATTTATACAATAATTAAAACATCTTAAGAGTAATAATAGTTTATTCATATACCTCCTCTCAGTCACCATGGAAGGGGAGCACCAGGGCATTCAGTTTCATCAGCTTAGTGGCCCACGGGATGATTGAGGATGAGCCTGAGGGAGATCAGGGGGGAGCACATGACGTTGGTCCTAAAGTAGAATAGGACGGATATGTGTTAATTGATTTTGAATATGACGAGTCTTACCAGGAGTTAGACGAAGAGAAGGGCGTAGAGGAGGCACGTAGTGAACCCAACCTGTCGAAAGCCCCGTCAGATCCCCGCACGGTTCAAAGGGTTGATACAGACTATCTACGCCCTCTCAAGGAGGCAATGATTAGCCTCAAGCTTGAACTTATTACGACCGAGGCAAGGGCTGTACGAGCCGAGCAAAGGGTAGAGGTAATCACCCAAGAGGCGGATGAACTTGATGAGATTGTGGTACGTGAACTTGACGATTGAGTGTCGTCGTCATCTCTACCTAGGTGACTTGCTCTACTACTTGCTATTATAGGTTCTACAGTATGTAGAACCAGCTGTACCTCCTACTACTATTTTGTTTCTATGGATATTATGTCGTAATATTGTCGGATCGTACATTTTCTTATGAAATGTTTGTCATTTAGGCAAATTTTCCTATATTAAAAATGGCTATTTCTAGCAGAAATGCTATATGTTTTAATATGAGGTTTTGCTTATGTTCACAAACAAACATAAACACACCATAAGGATATAGATCGAAACATTGTGAACCATACGACAAAACGTGAAAATTACAGAGAACCACCGGAAATGGCCGTCGTTACTTACGGTCCTGCTTATCATCATGCAGTAGAAGATGCCATTCCATAGAAATAATGAGCACACCCGTGAAGCACCACTCTTGCAAATGGACTTTACTACATTCCAAGTTGCTATCACCGCTGCCATGCTGTAACTGCTGCTATGGCACAACTCAACGCAAAAAACACCAACAGAGGAGGAAATAGTGTCAACAACACCAGTTGAAGTAACGACCACGTAAACCAATGAGTGATCGCATATAAAGGCACTCTAAACCCCAATCTTAAGAGTAGTAAGCGAGCGTCAGGGAATAAGAGAAAAGGACGGCCAACTCAAGGATCCTCGAAGAAACAACATGTTATTACTGCCAATGCTGCCATGACAACTACTACACCAACACTAGGGAGAACATATGTTGGAAGTCTTCCAAAATGAAACAAACACAGTTTCCATAATCATGGAATATGTATAGAGATGCACTGTACCAGTTGCAATATAAAAGGTCACATGGCAAGATATTATAGGACTTATCCCCAACAATACCCGCTGCTGAGCAACAACAACAACAACAGCAACAACAACAACAACAACAACAACAACAACAACGCTGGACCAAGCCACACCTGCTATGGGTGTGGAAAGACTGGGCATTACCATTGAAACTACCCCAACAACGAAAACCCTTGGAATAGAGGAACAGGAAGAGTGCTGACCATGGGTCAGGGAGAAGCGGTTCAGGATCTCACTGTTGTCACCGATACGTTTCTCCTAAACCACACTTATGCATGCATCCTATTTGATACTGGAGTAGAACGAAGCTTTGTGAGTAATAGATTTAAACAATTGTTAAAAGAACAACACATAAGCTTAATGAAACCTTTACGATGGAAATGGAAAATGGGAAAACAGAATCCACTGGGGAAATCTACATTGGATGTACCCTGACCTTGAACCATAAAGTCTTCCAAATAAACTTAATGCCTGTATCCATTAGGAGTTTTGATGTGATTATCAGCATGGACTGGTTAAGCCCCCACCATGCTGAAATTATGTGCCACGAGAAGGCCGTTCGCCTTCACCTCCCAAATCGTGAAACCCTAATTATATACAGAGACATACCTAGCACGAACCTTCATCTTATCTCATGCATTAAGGCACAGAAGTATCTACGAAAGAAAAAATTGACGTTTCTAGCTCATATAGTGGATAAGTCCAAGGAAGAGGTTAATATTCAAGACATCCCAGTGGCTTGCGATTTCCCAGTTGTTTTTCCTGAAGATCTTCCGGGGATACCCCCAGAAAGACAAGTCAAGTTCCGAATCGCTCTGGTGGCAGGAGCTACACCCATCGCCAAATCGCCCTATAGATTGGCTCCTGCGGAGATGCAAGAGTTGTCCATCCAACTTAGTGAGCTTTTGAACAAAGGATTTATCCGACCCAACTTCTCACCTTGGGGAGCTCCGTTTCTCTTTGTTAAGAAGAAAGACGGTTCCTTTAGGATGTGTATTGACTACACGGAACTAAATAAGCTCACTATCAAATATCGCTATCCACTTCCGCGAATCGAAGATCTATTTGACAAACTCCAAGGCGCAGACTACTTCTCTAAGATGGACATGCGATCCGGATACCACCAAATCAAAGTCCGGGAAGAGGATATCCCCAAAATCACTTTCCGAACTTGTTATGGACATTATGAATTTGTAGTAATGCCCTTCGGTCTAACGAATGCCCCAGCCGCATTCATGGACCTAATGGATCGAATCTTCCGACCATTCCTCGCAACTTTGTCATCGTTTTCATTGACGATATCTAGTCTATTCTCGAAGCGAAGAGGAGCATGGCTAAAATTTCTAGCAAATCCTGGAAACCCTACGAACCGAAAAGCTATAAGCAAAACTCTCTAAGTGTGAGTTCTAGCTCCGTAGTGTGACAACCCGATATTTCGACTCTATGTAATGACCTAAAAAGTTAAGTATTGTAGCTACTTTTGAAGTAATGAAATTAACTTTGAAAATAAAATGTGTAAAAGTCTCTATAGAAATGTCTATTATGCTAGATAATGAGTCAAGGTTTATAGAAATACTAAGAATACTAAAATCCGAGTCATAACGAAGAAGTTATGACCATTCTAAGATTTCCGACAAAACTGGCAACACCGATTAAACGAAAAACGCGAAGTTTCAATACAATAGTTTTTATCCTTATGTATCTAAATGAAAGTTGTAGATAATGTTAAACCGTGAGCGTACATAAAAAGAACGTCCAAATCTGACTTCGTATGAGGAAGTTATGATTTTTCCAAGATTCGGGTATAGCAGTAGAGAACTAAAAACTCGAAATAGAGCTCGAGAGACTTTTGACCAAAACAACCTAAACGAGAATCGAAGGTCTCAACATTAGTAGTGCAACGGCGAAAAGTCTGACGAAAACGGACATCAGATGAAGAAGTTATAGATTTTTAACGGATTTTTCGTATCCCAGCCCGTTAAAAATAAATTCAAAATTAGCCAATGAAGTCTAAACGAGAGGTGCAGATCATATTTTCAGCTACGCGTACATATAAAGAACGTTGATAACGGAGCTCGTACATGAAAGTTGTGGATTTTACAAGTTCGGGGTCCAAAATACGAGGTTGTCAGGGTTGCCACGACGTGGCACAGTTTTGCCGCGACCTGGCAAGTGACTGAGGGCGTCCAATCAATGGAAGAGGATAGAATTTCTCTCCACGATGTGGCACACCCTTTGCCACGATGTGGCACTCAAAAATCCCCCTATAAATAGAACTTGGGGTGCCGGGTTTAGGTACTCCATTCTTCCATCTCTCGTGCTGAAACTCTGCGGTGAAGCTCCCGAAGCCCTCCCGAAGCCCCGGTTTTCACACTTAAGTTCCGAAGGAAAGATTCTACGCTCCCGAGACTCCCGAGATTCACGAGAATCCCAAGAAAATCGACTTTCACAAGCCGCAGTTCTGCTCGATTTTCATCTCGCTTTCTCCAATCTTTCAAGTGAGTTCATACCCCTATAATTCACACTTTTAAATGTTTTATAAATACTTTTATATGCTTTTAAGGGGGGGGGGGATACAAGTAAAACACTCGATTATTATTGTGTGGTATATAAAGTTTCATTATACGCTTTTTATCAACGGAATCATATGTGATTTATAACTATTATAGGGAAACTTTCATATGCAAATTATACCACGATAACATCTTATCTTTTGAGATTAGAAATGATTTATGTATTTATGTAAATCAGACACTCTGCTTATACTATATTTATGTGTGTCAGTTTTGGCACTACAAGGATTATACTTTTCATAACAAGTGAGCGTTTTCACTAGGGATTTTATACAAACGAAACACACTTTTAAGAAACTATAATAGGTATAGTTTTACGAGAATACTACGAAATTTTACATACTGGAAATACTATTTCAAGAAGTTACTATCATGTACAAGAACAAACAAACATTTTTACACGTAAATTTGTTTTATACTATGTTTTGTGAGACATTAAACTTCACGTATGTTCAAGTATACATTTCAAGTCCTGTATTATATACCAGAATCCCTTGGAGGGGGAACATGGTGTTTGTGTATAGATCTATACGGGATTGACAACCCCGCACTCTGACTGTTAGCTACAGTACACCATTTGGGGTGACAAACGTCAGAACATTCCAACGCCTGAAGAACGTTGTGTATAGGCATTCCTTGTCATTAGCATGGGTATAAAACTCACATAGAGTATTAAGAACACATTGATTTACGAGGTTTTACAGATTAGAGGTTTTATACGTATATAGATTCATTTACTTTATTCATGAAAAACCCAATTGTGATATAATTTTGGAACTTCTAACCACTACTCATGGATGGGAAAACATCAACTTTTTAACATATATTGGTCTTGATTTAAGGCTACGCTTATACCAGTAGGAAATATAGGATTTTCTAGATATTAACAAACAAAAACGAACCATTTCATTTTCATACAAATACTATCATTAAATGCTTATGACACTCACCAGCTTAAATGTTGATCTACTCTTTCAAAACTACTTGTATGTCCCAGGGACTCAGTAATTACAGGTACTAAACAGCTTTTGAAGAAGGAACGCTGCGACACTAGTTTAAATTCATATTTTGGCATCATATTGTAATTGGTTTTGAACATGTACTCTTTTAAACAATGTAAACTTTCAATTATATATATATGATGGTTGTATTTCCTTTTTTACTATGTGTTCATTTGTTACGTTACCACATGAAGTCATCCGCCCCCGAACGTTTCCGCCGTTCCGGTTTCGGGGTGTGATAGATTGGTATCAGAGCAATGTTTATAGTGAACTAAGTATATCGAACCTCATAAGATATACAAACTATAAATGCTTAGGGACTCAAAGTCTGTGACAAAAGATTTTCACACCTAAAATCCTTATTTCATTTAAATAGATTATTTTAGGTCATGAAAATACAAAATACATGCATACAACGACATATTTTCATGATGAGAACTATACAAAAAGTATTAAGACAAGTTGGACACTACGATTAGTTCTCGAGATATGTAATCAAATTTGGGACGAATATAGCCTGATCAACTATATTTATCCGATATTGGACTAACGTATGTCGAGGAATGATCGTAGTGAGCAACAAGTCAAAACTTAC